TCTTGATAAAAAAAAAAATGAAGCATGCACCACATCTATAAAGAAGTAGGCACCTTTGTCTGCAATGTCATTTTTGAAAATGAACATGCTCTATGAAGCAATTAAGAACTATAATTATAGAAGTACATTCTCCTTCAGCTCATAGGATGGCTTTGAATTAAGGTAAAGTATGTTCCAGCGGAAAAAACCAAGTTATGGAATTTATGAAGAGAGCAAAGCGGCAGCTTTCAAAGATGGGAGAACCAGATGGATGTTTTTCAGATGTACTTTTCCACAGGTCTTCAGATTTCACACAAGATCAGGTAACGAGAAGAAGGTTTCAAGCCTGATATTTATGTTCACCATTGCATCAGGAAGCCTGAAATCACAGAGCATCAAAGCTCTCTGTTGGCCACAGTTAATGGAGTCAGTTTTCACCAGGACAGAACTACCAAAGAGCATCACTGAGATCAAAGGGGGTGCACAGTTTTGCCTATTAGGATGTGCTCAGTTGCCAGGACTGGAACGGATTAATCCACCTCACATTAAATTTCTTAAAATTTAGGAAGTGGGTTGGTTCCAACTAATGGCAGGGACAACGTTTACGAAGAAGAGTTTCCTACCAACATACTACATGTTCTCTTCTATTTTTCTGGCCTCCAGATTACAGCGATACTTATACAACTACCACATAGCTTATGCCAACACTGGCATGTGTTTATCCTTACTACATTTTATCTTCTTCTGGAACGGGATCTCTTAAATCTTTCATAAACATTTATTTCCATTTATTCCTAAACAAAGAGGTTGCAGATGGCTGCGTAAGAGAGTAAATATATCATTCACAAATTTCTGTTCATGACCAAGGCCTGGACACAGTTTCTTGTTCTCCACAACAGCAGCTATTCTTGTACAGTGGTACCTTGGTTTACGAACTTAAGCCGTTCTGGAAGTCCGTTCTTAAAACAAGGCATGCTTTCCCATAGCAGCGGGGGACTCAATTTACAAATGGAACACACTCAACAGGAAGCGAAACAGGTTCTTATTCCAAGGCAAAGTTCACAAACCAAAACACCTACTTTTGGGTTTGCAGCGTTCTTAATCCAAGTTGTTCATAAATGAAGCTGTTCTTAAACCAAGGTACCACTGTATACTGTATAACACACTCCTGCAGGTAAGATACACCTGAAAACATTTTCCAGGGTCTCAACAGATTTGTTTAAATGACAGACATGTGGTCTCTTATAATTTTCTGTAATCCCAAAACCTAACTGAAAGAGTCACACTTCTTCTAAGTGTGTGTGTGTATTAACAAAAGCTGGACAACAGATTGACTACTTCAACCTAATGCTTGCTAATTGTAACATCAAAGAAGCAAGCATACATTTATTCTTCCATGAAAAATATTCTGAAGATATATATGATGATGGAAAGAGCTATGTTGCTAAGCTATCACTTTCAGCACAAGTTTTAAACTGCCCTTAAAAGTGGCCTTTGGGGCAACAATTAAATATACAGTACCTTTATGAAGTGTCACAAAAAAAGTTGGCTTGTAGCCATAGACACTGGGAGTTGAATGCAACACTAAAAACATCAGCAAGTTTCATGGAGTTCCTTTCACTTGTGTGACACTGACCAATTATCTGAGACCTCTTTCATATACTAAAGGAGAAGCAGTGACATCTGAAAAACTAATATGGAGCAGATTATATACATTCTTGAAGAAATACATGAGTATAAAGTTGAATCCATTAACTATATTCCTTCCCTGATCATGTTTCCAGTGAATACACATTCCTTTTTGTGCAAAATTACCACCATCCTACATGAAGTCCTGGCTAACCAGGATATTAAGAAATTTCCCCCCTCTTTCATTTATCGAGATAGCTCAAAGTATTTATATTGAAAGTTCAGATGTGAACTGGATGGCGTTGGTGGATATGGAGTTGTACAGGTATGTGACACAAGAATTGTTGCATTTATAGACTGGTAGCTAAAGTTCAAGTCCATGCATGGACTCATTTGGTATCCCTGGAGAAACAGTCACAATCTGGCCTATTTCTAGTGCTACAATAAGTATCCAAACAAACCCCCGTGTTGCAAAAGAGAACGTCAACAATGTTTGGGCAACATGATGACCATATACATACATAATAGACAATCTTTATAGAATTCTTGCAGACGATAACAAGTTCAATGAATATATGCTGAGCAGTGACTACATTACTACATGAGCACTGCTCCCCAGCATTTTATATTTTCATTCACATATATCCATTCGAAATAAGATGGGTTTATGAAACAATTCTACAGTGGTACCTTGGGTTAAGTAATTAATTCGTTCCGGAGGTCCGTTCTTAACCTGAAACTGTTCTTAACCTGAAGCACTATTTCTGGGTTAGCGGAGCCTGTAACCCGAAGCGTATGTAACCTGAAGTGTATGTAACCTGAGGTACCACTGTATATTCTCCCACCACGCTGACGAAGATCTACAAAACGGCAGTCAATATCTGGAATCTCTGTTCAGTGTTGGACATTATATTACAAAGTTTGGTACCTCGCTTCATTTAAAGGCTTTCAGAGACTTTGAGTCTAAGATTTCATTTTGAACCTGTTATTAAAAGAATTCTATAAAGATTGTCTATTATGTATGTATACGGTCATCGTGTTGCCCAATCATTGTTGACTATTTCTCGTGCTGCCAGAGCCAGGCATTGGGACCTGCAACTCATCCTTCACCCAACCTGATGCCCTTCAGATGTTCTGAACTGCAACTCCCATCAACCTCAGTCAGCATGGCCAATGGTCAGGGATGATGGGAGTTATGGCCCAAAACATCTGAAGGGTGCCAGACTGGAGAAGGCTGCTCTACGCCAACGTAAGGGACATGCAGCCTGGGGCTCAAGCGCTCGGGTTCCCTTCTTCCTTATATTCTCACTCTTCCGAAAGAAATAGCAAAATAAGACTGGACACATAGACTATTAGCATACATCAACAGTGCACACCAACATCCAATCTATTCATCAGCTTTCACTGGTGTGGGCTACAAAAACTGAATGGAAGAACTATTTGAGCACCAGGCCAGGAACCATGCTGTTTCGCTGCCCTGGAGCATTTGTAGATTCTGGTAGGCTCACCAGGTCTGGAGTTCGTACGTACTTCACTGGCAGACTTTGGGCTCTCAAATTTCAGCGGCGCCCTGTGCGATGCTGAAATTCGGGCCCTCCACCACTTGCGCTCCATTCTACAGCATTGTTGTGGCACCCCTGCAGTGCTGCGCCCCCTGTGGTTGAACCATTCGCACCACCCTAAAACCGCCTCTGCTTACTTCATTGGACTGTGGTATAACTCCACAGTAGGTTGACTTCAGTGTGTAGACCCTTCCTTCTTTCCTCCGATAATCTGTGTGGTTTATCAATAGGCTTTTAAACTTAACAGAGCAAAGAGTGCATGCTCAGGGTGCATAACAGCTAAGGTGTGCTCTTTCGCAGAGAAAGGTTTGCTGCTGATGGGGATCATGTGAGCACACGTGGGGATCCACCAAGAGCAGATCAGCGGTGCACCCAAATGGATTGTGTAGCTGAGTGAGAATTAAGTAAATAGAATAAATCAACAATAATAAGAATGTTAAAAGAAGATTTTAAAAAGCATTAAAATGTTTATTGCTTTTAAATAATACCACGGCACCAGAATGTTCATACGTTCTGGCCCTCTCTAAGGTAGAACCTATCCCCGCAAGAAGTCAGAGATGAATTCCTGTCATTAATGCCTAGAGCAGAAATGTCTCTATTTCCCCATCTTCTACCTTATTTTGGCACCTATGCACGCCATAAAATTGAATAAAATCGTGCAACAAACCTACTTCAGTTCAGCACACTTTTTGCTCCAGCTTTAGAAAATGCCTACTCAATTAAGATTTGGTTTTTCTAAAACAGCCTGCGTCCTCCAACAAATCTGAGGAACCAATGCAGAGTATTTCGTTCCAAACAGCTCAGGTGCTGCAAACATTCAAGTTGCCATCCTAAACTTACAGAATAAAATAAAATGGTAAAAGAGGGGAAACCCTTAGGGAGTTGCACTGCTTTTAATGTCGGCGCATCACAGAATTAGAGAACACTTAAAAGAGATCTGTTTGTCCGTACATATTGAACTGTACACACTAACGCAGAATCCATCACAGCAAGCACAGATTAACTCCTGTTTGGTAATATTTGGGCATATCTAGAGAACAAAGAATCTGAATTTTGGGAAGGGGAAAAAACCAGCTGAAGGACTGGTGGAGCGAGAGATTGTGCTAGGGACAAGAGCCTAATATTTCTCCATTTTCTCTTGTCATTCAGACTTTACTGTATACTTTTGCTTTTATTTTCGGCACAGCTTTCCCAGACTCATAGAATCATAGAACTGTAGAGTTGGAGGGGACCCGGGGGTCATCTAGTCCAACCTCCTGCAATGCAATCTTTTACCCAACGTGGAAGCCTGAGCTTCAGAGTCTCATGCTCCACCGACTGAATCGAACGCACTTTTACCTACTTACTAGGGAGTACGCCCCATTAAACACACAACGACCTAGTTCTGAGTAAACGTAGGTAGGACTTGCCAGGATTGTGGAACCTACCGATAACCACAGTCTCAGCCAAATCCCTCCGGGCCAATGCTTTTAGAAACAACAAAATATTTATTCGCATAGTAGCAAAATAAAAATAAATAATAATAATAATAATAATAATAATAATAATAATAATAATAATAATAATAATAATAATAATAATATCTCTGCAGCAGCACCCTCTCCCCTTCAATATTACGAAGGAGGCGCAATCTACTATCCAAGGATGAACTTGAGACGGAGAGGGGTGTGCGTGGGGGAAAATAGGTTTGGGATCTTACAAACCGAGGAGGAGAACAATAGCAGGCAGCAAGGAAGAGTGTCAGGGGCGTTGGCCAGCGCGGACAGGTAACTTTAGCCGCCGGCCTCGCTCCCTCCGCGCCCGCGCTGAAGTTGCGCGCTGCTTCCTTACCTTCTTGATCTTGCTTTCCAGATCCATGTTGGATCCGCAGCGCGCGCACGCGAGATCCGGGGCGAGGGAGACACTCAGAGCACAAATGCCTCCCTCCTCCCTCCTGCTGTTGCTCCCTGACAGTCGGATGTGGTTAGAAAGGAAATGAGCGCAGGGAGGCTCACTTCGCTGGCTCGCTCGCCCCGGGCAGCTCCAGCTGCAAGGGAGCGCGCTCAAACTTCCGCTCTCCTGCGGCAGCGGCGAAAGGAACAAAGGAAGCCCGGCAGCCAATGGGCGCGCAGCTGCTCGCAGGTCCGAGAGCCAATCGCGACGCCCACCAGCCCAAAACCTTTGCGCCGGAGAAGGGGCGGCTCTTGCGCGGGCGCGCAGGCCACCCGGGCGCAACTGGGGCTGAAGCGGCCCCTTCCTGATGCGTGCAAGCGGAACTCTTTGGCTTCGCTGCCGAGGCGTTCAATGAATGAGCTGCCTGATCAGCTCACGGCAAAGGTATTTGCTGACGCAGCCTGCCAAGGGCTTCCAAGCCTCAGTCCTCTCTGTCTCTCTCGTGGGGTTAAAGGGCGGGGAAGGGGGGAGAGCAGTTTATTACAATTATGAGCTGGTGGCTGATAAGAAGATAATCCCCTTTTCAAAAAGTGCTCCCGGAGGCTCTGTGATTTATAGCGTCTGGGAAATGAGTATGTGTTGCTCTCACTGGAAAAAAAATAAAAAACGTTCTTTTACTTATTTTTCTCGCTTGAAACTGGCTGCAGGAGCAGAAGGCATCTAATTTTTATCCCTGAAGCTCAGTGGTGTGTGTGTGTATAATATATACCGTATTTTTTGCTCCATAAAGGTAAAGGGACCCCTGACCATTAGGTCCAGTCGTGACCGACTCTGGGGTTGCGGCGCTCATCTCGCTTTATTGGCCGAGGGAGCCGGCATTTGTCCGCAGACAGCTTCCGGGTCATGTGGCCAGCATGACTAAGCCGCTTCTGCAAGAGCAGAAGGCATCTAATTTTTATCCCTGAAGCTCAGTGGTGTGTGTGTGTATAATATATACCGTATTTTTTGCTCCATAGGACGCACCAAAGGGTAAGACACACCTAGTTTGGGGGGGAGGAATACAAGAAAACAAATATTCTGAATCCCAGAATCCAGAACAGCAAGAGGGATCTGGCTTCTGGGATAGCCGCAAGAGCAGGGCAGCGGGGAGCCTTCATGCCGCTGCCCTACGGAGGCTTCAGGGGCTATCCAAAAACCAGAACAGGGAGAGGGAGCGCTGCGCAGCGCTCCGTCTCCCTGTTCTGGCTTCTGGGACAGCCCACGAAGCCTGCATTCGCTCCATAAGAGGCACACACATTTTCCCTTACTTTTCAGGAGGGGAAAAGTGCATCTTATAGAGCGAAAAATGCGGTATATACATACATACACATCTGTTGCATGCACAAGGTCCCAGGTTCAATCACAGGCATGTTCAGATAGGGCAAGGAGAGGAACCTGTCAAAATCCTGGAGAGACACTGTCAGTCAGTGTGGACCACCAGCGGTGAATCTCCGGACCAGCACGGGTCTTGCTCAGCGTTTGAAATTCACCAGGTACATTCTGCACCTGCCTATCAGCCACTTGTGTCCAAATGAAGATGCCCAGGTGCCAGGATGGCACCTGACGTCTCTACCATCCGGAGGTGCATGCCTGGGGATCCTTGGACCTGGACTGTTTTCACACACTAGCAACACATCCTATAGAACACCATCGGTTATATTTTATCTGCACAATCGGAATGAATTTCAGGAACCAAAAAGTCGTTCAAAAATATGACTTTCGAGCCGTCTGGCCCCAAAATGACAACTAGGGATTCTGTAGCCCTGGTTTATGGAGCCATTTGGCGCCTATCTTATATATCTGAGTTTCTAACATTGGACTCTTGCTGTCTGTAAGGCCATTCAACACTACCGTTACCACCTGATGACATCAGATGCGGAGCAGGTTTGGACAGGGACCAGGTTATGAAAGAACAAGAAGGAGCTTAAAGTAGAAGAAGAAGAGGAGTTTGGATTTGATATCCCGCTTTATCACTACCCAAAGGAGTCTCAAAGTGGCTAACATTCTCCTTTCCCTTCCTCCCCCACAACAAACACTCTGCGAGGTGAGTGAGGCTGAGAAACTTCAGAGAAGTGTGACTGGCCCAAGGTCACCCAGCAGCTGCATGTGGAGGAGCGGAGATGCGAACCCGGTTCACCAGATTACGAGTCTACCGCTCTTGCAAGTGGGGCTCCTTGTCACTACTGCAGACCTGCTGAACTAAAATGGACCAATGGTCTGACTCAAGATAAGGTGGATTCCTGTGATACTAAAGCTGCAAAGTCAGCCAATTGAAGTTCATATTTTATTTCCCTGCTCTGCCTTACAATGGGACCCCATGCATGTTTTCACCAAAGTAAGCCCCGCTGGCCTTATATGTGGGTAACACTAAACCATGGTTAACATTAAGCATAGTTAAATGTTAGGCGCTTGGCAGACTGTAACTCAGCCCATGGTTTACTATGTCACAGAATAGTTAAAAGCACCAGTAAGAGCAGCTGAGCCTTAAAAGTGGTTTTACTTGTGGCTCTAGCTTTGTGGCAGTGACAGCTCCTTAATCATAGTTAATTAGGAGGACTGGGCTTGAATGCACTGCTAAGCTATGGTCAGTATTGACTAATGTTTGCAAATCAACTGTAAACCTTGGTTAGGAACATAGCATTATAGAGTTGGAAGGAACCACAAGGGCCATTTAGTCCAAGCCGCTGCAATGCAGGAATCTATGCCCATATGGTTATACCTGACTTGGTCACACATAGTGCTAAACCATAGAATAATCAATCATTTAGCATTATGTGCAAACTAGGCCACTGACTCAGTGCAACATATTCCCAAATGAGCTCACAAAAGTAGAGGCTGCAAAACTAAGCATGCTTTTTGAGGAGTAAACTTATTTTGGTTTGAGTTGCCTTTTGGGGCTAAAGGTCTAGACTTGTTCACTGGCAGTCTTTTCCTGAAAGATAATGAAAGGTGACTAAAAAGTGATGCTATTTACATTTTATTTCTGTTTAGAAAAGAGGTGGGAGCAAATAGCACGGCTAGGAAGTTAATCTTTCAGCTGGATCGATAAAAAGCATTGTTACAAAACCAGGCTTCTGATATATGTCCTATAAGACAAGGTAAATTCTCTGGCCTTCACATAATTTGGTATGCTAACAACCCTTCCCAGGCATAAATACTACCAAACATACAGCTGTAGGGTGTTAAAAGTATTAGGAAAGAATGTACAAATTACATCTACTAACTTTTTGGGAGAACTCCAAAACTCACAGTTGGGCCATACCTTTATTAGGCATTACCAAATTGTCAAAATAGTGGCAAGCTTTAGAGGTCTCTAGAGGTCTCCATCAGGCACGATGCAACAAAATGTGGGGGGGGGGGAGGGAAAATAAGGAAAAACCAAAATTATTTTGTTCTAATATGAAGATAGCAAGCTGAATAGGTCTCTGCTAGGTGCTGCAGATATCAGGTTGCATACCTAGGATTCTGGAATAAAGAAGCAATGGTCTCATTTTTTTAAAAAAAGAATAACTGAAAGCCTGGCTGTGAAAGGGATCGCCCAATTGTGGATTTCTTTTTATTTTCTTATAGACCAACATTTTTCTTGCGGGCCTTTGCTTTTTATGAAACTTTTTGAAGTAAGCCCTACTACTCAAATTCTGTATTGCGCTTGTGTCAGTGAAGTGTCCAACACAGAGTTGATGTGATGGTCTTGGAGTACAGTACAGTGGTACCTCTGGATGTGAATGGGATCTGTTCTGGAGCCCCGTTCGCATCCTGAAGCGAACGCAACCTGCGTCTGCGCGGGTCGCGATTCGCCGCTTCTGCGCATGCGTGTGACATCATTTTGAGCGTCTGCGCATGCGTGAGCGGTTGCCGTGGAGCGCAACCTGAAAACACTCAACCTGAAGCATATTCAACCTGAGGTATGACTGTATTCAGCTGCTTGAGCAGAGAGCAAATCATCCACCTTCTGTGACGGAAGGGAGAGTTGTCAGTTTGGCTGAGATTAAAACCTCACACAGAGGAGCTGGGAAGTGGTCCTGATAGGCAAGAAGGCTCAAGAAACAATATAGTCAGAGAGAGAGAGAGAAAGAGAAAGAGAAAGAGAAAGAGAGAGAGAAAGAGAGAGAGAGAGAGAGAGAGAGAGAGAGAGAGAGAGAGAGAGAGATGAACTTGAGGAAAAGGTCAAGGGTATTACAGAACGGAGTGGGGAAGAAGCTAATGAGAGAATAGACTCTACAAGTAACACAACACTTCATGGTGCAGAGGGAGGCTAACCAAAATGTGTGAAGGAAGTGAAATAAAAGAGGTAGTGGTATGAAAAGCAAGAACCTGTGTAGGCAATAGCTTCCCACTATGTGGGCAGGGACTGATTCAGAGACAGCCAGCACCTCCCCCCACCCTGGCATTGCTCTAATTCTGTAGAAAGAACTGTGCAGTCAGCCCATACCCACATGGTTGGGTCATTTAAACAAGAATGGGGAACCTGTGACTCACCAGATACTGCTGCATCACAACTCTATGGGCAGCTTGATGTAAATCTCTGACCTTTGGACATGCACACTTGGGGGTTATGGGAGTTGGAGTCTGAAATATACTTTATTCAGCTCATAGTAGTGAGGAATGAAAGTTTCCCCAAAATATCTGCTTTATATACATTATTTACACAATGGGCCGCACGTGATTGGCTAATTCTGGGATTCTCCTGTAGGCCAATCAGGTTGCGGATTCACTTCCACCTGGAGCTGGATTGGGTGGCTCCTGCGGACCAATCATACTGCTGCATTGTTCTAGGACCAATCAGACTGCTGCATTCTGGGTCCTATTGTTCTAGGACCAATCAGACTGCTGCATTCTGAATCCTATTGTTCTAGGACCAATCAGACTGCTGCCTTTTGGATCCTATTCAACTCAGTGCATAACAGAGTCCAACAGCATCCAACAGGTTCCCTCTTCTTGATTTAGATGCTAGGCCAGCTGTACAGCATCTGCTTGTGAAAAAGCTGCTTTGGTGCAGTTGGGATAATAGCTAAGAGGCA